GTGTGTCTGTGTGTCTGTGTGTCTGTGTGTCTGTGTGTCTGTGTGTCCTCATTCCTATTGCCATTAAGTTAATTAATTTCAAGCACTTATTGTAAAGAATTTCTTGGACTCAGCCAGCAAAGAAGTTTGATTTTAATGAGGGGGTTGAGTTGTAATGATATGGAAAATAGGAGCCAATTCTATCTCAACACACCTTTAGCAGGCCCTAATAAGACTCCAAATGAAAGTGTGAGCTGTTGTGGAGTTGGGCACTTTTTCCATTCCTGTAGAACGCCTATAGTTTGCCTGCATTGGCCTTAGTTTGAAATAAATGATAAAGTATATGTGTGCAGCAAGGTTGGAAGTTGCTGGGTATTCAAAATTGTCTCACTTCCTTTTGAAGACACTGAAATGCTGGGAAAGGAAGGAGGAATGTTACCACCAGTACAAGCTGCTGTTTGGTTTCACAAAGATCTCCTCAGTCTTGAGCTCAGTTCCTTTCACACTGTATTTGCCCCTTCCCACATGGTGCTCGTAGCAAAGACACCTGAAATATTTTGATCAGGTGGTCATCACCTCAGATCTAGTTACTACTGGAGGAAAGGAGGATCCCCATCCCATTGTAATGACCTCAAACCTCAACATGCTTCCAGATTGCTGTTCAAGTTTGTCCACCTATGTGTCTCTAAAAGTATGGTTTCCAAAACTCTCCACAAGAGTTTTTCCTTGCACCCTGTTCAAGTTTTTTTTAAAGAGTTATTGTCCAATTAATCAGTAACTCTGGTATGATTTCATCATGCAAGTACTGAAATGATGGTAGATGAACTCAATGAAGTTTGCTATTTCATTCCTGTGTGCCCTGACATCCATGTGCTCCATTAGGTCTCATCCAGTGATGATTACCAGGTGCCTGCCTTTGCTGGGATACAAGTCAGAATGCCTTTATGTTTACTTATGTTTGAATGACCAAGTCCATCAATAGTCCAGTCTGACAAGCTGTCCTATGGGGGCTCACTGTTGGTACTCATATAGGTTCTTCAGTTCATTATCAATCATGGATTATCTCACTGGGACCTAAACAAGCTGACTCACTACTTAGGGCCATCTTGTACTTTCATACAGAATGATTCTAAGCTCCTCAGAATGAGTTACAGTCCTTTGGAATTTGCTATGACCTTCACCAGAAAGGTCACATGTAATAGTACCCAAGTGTCTCTAGCCTTATAGAAGCAATTATTCCTGGTGTGTCCCACGCACGTCAATAAGGCCGAGACAGCTCATTCTTGATGGTGTACAGACCCGAGAAAAGTGAAACCTACTTGACATTCTCAAGTGTCTGGTGTTAAGGGTGCCTCCCGTAGGTCAGGAACACCTGATATAGGCCAAACAACAACTCTTTGGTCAGGCAAACTGACAGTGGCCAATGTGTGGGTAAACAGACTGGTATCCACGCCCTCGACCGTGTCTCCAACTTTTCCCGCAGCTCATCCCTCACACCCCCTCCCCGCAATAACAACCAAAACAGAATCCCCCTCATCCTCATGTACCACCCCACCAACCTCCGGATCCAATGCATCATTCTCCGACACTGCTGCCATCTGCAATCCGACCCCACCACCAAAGACATTTTTCACTCCCCACCCTTATCTGCTTTCCGGAGGGACCACACTCTCCGGGACTCCCTTGTCTGCTCCACACTCCCCTCCAGCCCCACCACACCCAGCAATTTTCCCTGCAACCGCAGGAAGTGCTACACCTGCCCCTACACCTCCCCCCTCACCCCCATCCCAGGCCCCAAGAAGACTTTCCACATCAAGCAGATGTTCACCTGCACATCTGCTAATGTGTATTCGCTGTTCCTGTTGTGGCCTCCTCTACATCGGGGAAACCAAGCGGAGGCTTGGGGACCGCTTTGCAGAACACCTACGCTCAGTTCGCACTAAACAACTGCACCTCCCAGTCGCGAACCATTTCAACTCCCCCTCCCATTCCTCAGACGACATGTCCATTCTGGGCCTCCTGCAGTGCCACAACGATACCACCCAAAGGTTGCAGGAACAGCACCTCATATTCCGCTTGGGAACCCTGCAGCCCAATGGTATCAATATGGACTTCGCAAGCTTCAAAATCTCCCCTCCCCCTACCGCATCCCAAAACCAGCCCAGCTTGTCCCCGCCTCCCTAACCTGTCCTTCCTCCCACCTATCCCCTCCTCCCACCTCCATCTCCTACCTACTAACCTCATCCCACCCCCTTGACCTGTCCGTCCTCCCTGGACTGACCTATCTCCTCCCTAACTCACCACCTACACTCACCTTTACTGGCTCCATCCCCGCCTCTTTGACCTGTCTGTCTCCTCTCCACCTATCTTCTCCTCTATCCATCTTCTATCCGCCTCCTCCTCTCTCCCTATTTATTTCAGAACCCCCTTCCCCTCCCCCATTTCTGAAGAAGGGTCTAGGCCCGAAACGTCAGCCTTCCTGCTCCTCTGATGCTGCTTGGCCTGCTGTGTTCATCCAGCTCGACACCTTGTTATCTCTGGTATCCATTCCTGTTCTGTCAGTCAAGAAATGGACACTGGAAACTGAAACAAATCCTGATACTATTGGCTTTATATATGGCTGATGGTAGGGCAGCCTTTGGCGATGTGCTATTCACACGACTGGAAGAGCTGCACCAGAAGACATTAAAGGTACAGGGTTATTGAACATTTGAGCAAACACACATCACAGCAACTGTAGGCCTAGAGGATTAAACATGGTTCACAGTTGTGTATTGAAGGTACTGTGTGTGAGATTAGTTATTGGTGCGTGTGAGAATATATTTTTTGTTAGTGTGTATGAGCGTGTATAATTGAAAGTGTCTGGTTGTTTATCTATGTGAGTGGGTATGTCTGTGTATGAGTATCTTTGTACTTACGTATGTATGTTTTTGTGTATCTGTGTGTGTGCCCCCCTAATTATTTATGAGTCATGTAGTTGTGTACGAGACCTCTGTCACTGTTTGTTTCTTTCAGTCTGACCGTGATCTCTGAATGAATGTGTGAATGATGTCGCCGCTGGCCAGTCCATTGAAAAGAACAATGTGCAGTAATAAAATTAAATGGAATGTGGTTAATTTATCAGCACTGATCTGACTATTCTCAGAAGATTAATAACCTGCTGCACTCCTCTCCAGGAGATGTTACATTATCAATAGCAATATTGATTCCAGAGAAATTTGTTCCAGGCCCTTAGCTGAAAAGCAGTCAGTGCCCAAATACCTCAGCTTCTGGCAACCACTGTTGACTTTGTTGTGAATGCTGGTTATGGGAGGGGAGGATGTCATGGACCAGAGTGAATCATTTCTGTAGATAATGTGTTCTTCCACTCAGTTACCAAGCTGGATCAGATTCCTATAACTGGAAGAAAGAGCTGAACCAATTAAGACTAGATGGGGTGGGACTCTCTGGAACAGAAAAGACTGAAGAATGATTAGATGCACATCTTTAGAATTATGATAGAATTTGATTGAGTAAGCTTCGAAAATACATTTCTGCTTGTGGGGAGTTCAAAATTAGAACCATAAATATAAGACAGGCAGTAATAAATCCAGTGGGGAATTCACAAGAAACTTATTTACCAATACAAATGGAACTTTAGGCCCTATGGAGCAGTTGAGGAATAATATTGCTGCATTTGAAGGGGAAGCTAGATATATACATAAGGGAATGAGAAGCTCATGGCTAAAGGATGAGATCACATTGGCTGGAAAGAAACTCATGAATATCAGCATAGCTCAGTTGGCCTGAATGGCCTGTTTCACCTGTAAAATTTGATTTAATTCTACATCACTTAACCCCCTTCACATCTCTCACTGAATTCCAGCTAATTGAATTTGAGGAATGTACAAAGTGAAACTGGAATTGGAAAATACTGGAAATACTTAACAGCTCAAATGGCCTGTGGGGAGAACCAATGTTTCTCAACAAGTGTCCACACTCTAAATCCAAGTAGATGCTAAAAGATCAGTTGTAAATTTTAATTGAAGAATTTCAGTTTGCTCTTCAATCTCTGTGAGTGCAGGGGGAGCATTTGGAAATGCCATAACCTGTCAGTTTATTGACTAGGAATTCCGTGTTAGTTCCTCCAACTCCTGACCAATTTACAGCAGCTCCCAGTAACACCCTGCTTTATTCGGCCCTGTTTATTACATTGAAGTATAGATAGGGTTTGCTATCTTCCTTTAGAAAATGAGGGGTTCGAAAAAAGTCCTATATAGCTTTCTCTTGGGGTGTTGGGGAAAGATTTGTTAGATAATTCAGTGCCCCTTTCAGCTTCAATCTGCAGGTTAGACTGTCTGAAACATTACAGCGCACTGATATGGACTATACTTGAAAAGAACTTGGACAGTGTCCCAAAGCATTTGACAGCTAATCAAGTACCTTTGAACTGTTGCAATTCCTGTAATTTAAGAAATACAGAGCTGCCTGTGCAAGGTGTAACAAGTCTGATAGCAGGGAAAATAAATTATCTTATGGCTGTGATCAGAGCCTTAACATAGGCAAACTAAAATGACACAGAAGTACCTCAATTCTAATTGTATTCAAATCCTGAAGCTCAGGGTAAAGCTGTGTTTTCTGTTTAAGTTAGTGACAACTTGTTGTTATCTTTGTAATAAATAGCAGCACAAACATTCTCCTCCAGTAATTCTGAAAGCTGTGTTTACGACTGTTCAATTTTAACAGGAGAATTTCCCCAGAATCTGGTCAATATGTATTTTTCAATCAGTATCAATAAAATATGTTCAGCAATTAATTTACCTCTTGTCTTTTTGTGGTTGCTGCAATTCCTGACATTACACCAGCAATTGTATTCCAAAATACTCTTATTGTCTGCGATGAATTGTAAAATGTCCTGATGATGTGAAGGATGCTATTGAAATGCAGATGACTTCCCATTACCAAAAAAATCTAAAGATACTGAAACTTATTCTCTTCCCCCCCCAACACCCCACCGTTTAATGGTTTCTATCTTCTCTAACCGATCTTTCGATCTACATGAGCTGCCTACAAACTCTAAGGAATGGAGTTGAATGCAAGCACCACCTGCTTGAGACAGCTCTCAAGAAGCTTGACACCATTACGACAAAGCAACCCACTTGATTGGCACCATATCCACAAACATCACTCTATCCACCACTGATGCTCAGTTGCAACAGTGTGTACTATCTACAAGACGCACTGTCAGAATTCACCAGTATCCTGGAACTCCATCCCTAATGGTATTGTGGGTCAAATACAGCAAATGGACTGCAGTAGTTCAAGAAAGCAGCTCACCACCACCTTCTCAAATGCAACTAGGGATGGATAAACTAAAGGTGCAGCCAGTAGTCACATCCCCTAAATTAATAAAAATAATTGATCAACATCCATGGTTTACTCACCTCTAGGTTTGTTTATTTCAATGCTGTTCTGGTTATCCTCCCATCTTCCATCCTACATTCCCAAATCCTGCTACCTCTACCTTAACGTGCACCAAATTTTGTTGACCCACCTCTATTATACTCTTTTTTTTATTCACTCATGTGTATCACTGGCTAGGCCAGCATTTATTGCCCATCCCAAATTGCCCAGAGGGCAGTTCAGAGCCAAACCACATTGAAATGGGTGTGGAATCACATGTAGGCCAGAATAGGTGAGGATGGAAGATTTTATTCCCTAAAGGACATTAGTGAACCAGATGGGTTTTTACAACAATCAACAGTGTTACAGCTGTCTATTCCAAATATTTGTTGTACTAAAAATTACACCATCTGCCATGGTGGGATTCAAGCCCATGCTCCAGAACATAAGCCCAGGGTCCTGGATTACTAGTCCAATGACATTACCAGTAGGCCACTGCTTCCACTTAGAAACAGTATTGGCTCCAGGTACAGTATCAATTTAATTTTGAAATTTGCATCCTTCTGTTTGAATTCTTCTGTGGCTTCATCCCTCTTTGTCTCTGTAACCATCTGCAGTCCTCCAATTCTGACCTTCTGCACTTGCTGCATTTTTGGTGGCCATCTTGTCAGCTTTCTAAACTGCAGTCTTCTGGAACCACACCCATTCTTTGTTCAAGGCACTCTTATAATCAACCACTTTGGACTAAATCTTTGGTTACCTGTCCTCAGATGTCTTTGACTTGGTGGATTTACTTTGTAAATATCTGTGGAATGTCTTGTTTTCCTGTGTTAAAGACATTATACAGGTGTCAGTTGTTGCTTATTGGTGAATGTCAATCATTTTCATAAGGACATTTCCTTGATGTTACCCAAAGCACATACTACAAGCGGGTTGTAAGAACAGAATAGACAGTCAGGCTAGTGCACCTCTGTGCTGCAATTTGTTCTGATGTCGTCACACCTGCTTGGATTCTAGGTGCATTATTAACATCAAAAGTGTATGTGTGTAGATAAGGAATCCCACTTTTAGTGATAGTGGAACTATAATGAACAAAGTACACAGAACACATTTGTTTGTTTAAAACAGCTCAAGTATATTATGCATGCCGTTTAGTACACCAATTTCCTCAGTCACATACTCTTGGTTTACTTTTTCTGAACACTTCCTATGTGAATCACCACACAAAAATCATGCAACGAATGTATATATTTACATTAGAGAAACAATGTGATGTTATGAGCTAGATCTTTCTAGAACACAGCAGCATTATATTTAGAGGTTGCCTCTAGATTTCGTTTTCATGATATTGCATATTCTCGAGAGAATTTTTTTCACCAATTCTCTCCCTTCGTCTCTAAAGGTATTGACTCCTGGCTAGGGTTTGTTTCTCAGTGAGCAATGGTTGCCCTCCAGGGTACCTTGTCCAAGCCTTGACAGCAGGAGATGACTTGCAATTTGACTACGTGGTGTTTCACTGTTGAGCTTTACCTTCTGTCCACTCCACTTTGGCAGGAGCTCATTTCCACTGTAAGGTAATCACTGACTAAACCTCAGCTCCCTAGCCCAGAGGTACAATTGATTACGAAACTCCAGGTGCCACTCTAGCTGAGATGACCTAGTTTGCCCATTGCAGATTGAACCTGGACCCTTCATTTCCTGTGCTGCTTAAATTGTCATTGGAGAAATTCACGAGGCATCATGGGATCAAGTAAATGACTCTTACCAACCCTTTAACTAAGGGGTGGTGGGGGGTTGTGGGGGGAAGGACTTTAGGAATTTGTGAGGCTTTACCAAGGCTGGATGCTATGCTACCTGTGTTACCCGTTTTAAAATAATCAACAACTGAAGTGATCTATTGAGGTACAATGAGAATGTCAACAAATCATGGAAACCCCCCAAGTCCAATCACATCTTGCACTGGGATCCTGCAATTGGTGATTTTTTCCTTTTGATTGTTTGAAAGATCCTGATGTTCCATTCAAAACTTTACAGGTCAGTTTATGGTCAATGTCATGTCAGGACTGATAGATTATAGGAACCCTCCAGACATCAGCTGCTTCAGGTCACTCATGGTTGAGTGTGCTGCTTGGTGCAACAAACATGCTGGGTTACAAAGGCACAACTAATGCCTAAAGGGTTAGGAGGGGCCTCAAGAGAATTCTGGTATTGAGTAAGAAGGGGGAAAGATAAAACCTTGACCTGGGTAACATACCCCTCTTTCTAATATATCAGCTCTGTAATTCCTTAAGTATTAACTTGGTGTAGTGAGATGGTGCTGCATTTCTGCTGCAGTTAGATATGATCGCATTTCCACTGCAGTTAGATATGGTCACATTTTTACTGCAGTCAGAAATGGTTGTATTTTTACTGCAAGTCAGATATGGTCACATTTCCATTGCATTCAGATATGGTCGCATTCCACTGCAGTGAGATATGGTCGCATTTTTACTGCAGTTAGATATGGTTGCATTTTTTAGAGCAGCCAGGCTCAAGATTGCAACAACATCCAGAAAACAATGATACTATGGAACAGTAGTTTACTGTCATAACTCAACAATATAACCTGATACTGATTGAATTTACATTATTTTCACATTCAAAAGTTACAGCAAATTACACAAGAGAACCCTTTAATATATTATTTCACATCCCTGCATCAAATGTCTAGTTGTTGCTGAAGTGTTCGAAGTATGAAGACTATCCAACCCAAGAGATTAATTGAACATTCTTACAGCAGATATACAAATACAAATTGAGTGTTGAATTATTGTTTTGTTTTTGCATAGTGAAAGAGTTCTGACTTGATGAGATTTGTTTTCATTGCAGTTCAAGTTCAGATGTTGATTTGTGCTGTTTCTTTCTTAAAATTATTTTTGCTGCAAGGGCAATGACTGTGATAGCTAGGATAAGGGCCAATACAAGCAGGATCCACTGGCCTGCCTTAGCCTGCTGTGGATCTAAACTTAACCCCAGAAAATCCACTTTGCTCTTTGGAACAGGCTTTGGATTTCCCTCAACAGTGGAAACTGGAGTCGTTGGAGCTGAAGGTTCCACGGAGGGACGAGCTGGAGGTTTCATGGAAGGATGAGCTGGAAAGAAATACGTGAAAGTTAATTCCTATTCCAATCAGAGTAAGAATAACATGAGTAAACATTTGAACAGAAGGAGGTCATTTGGCCCATTTTTCTATCAGAGCATCATTGATCCTTATAGTTCCATTGATCCTATCTTGGTCTCTAACCAAAGCCCTTTTGGTGCAATGGTGATATGCCTCCCTCTGGGTCAGGTTTGAGACCCACACCAGGATTTGTTGGCCCAGGGTTGTTGTGTTTATAAACAGGCCAAGCAGTTTGATTGTCAGCCTGTAAATCTTTCCGACAGGCCTGATGACAGGCGGTCAGAGCAGGAGGGTTTCTTTGCTATCTGTCCTGCAGAAAGCGACGGCAAACCACATTTCCCATAAGCATGAACCAATCCAATGGAAGTCCCATGACCCAACTATTGGAAATGAGGACAAAACACAAAGACAAATAGACCAATCCTATTGTAAGAAATATTGTTATGTCATCAAGGGTATAACAAGAAGGGGGCAGTTGGACAAAGACCCCAGGGCTAGCAGCCATCCACCAGAGCTAATGGCCCTCAGCTCTCGAGAGAGAATCACTGACTCTCACAGCCTCCTCTATGTCTTAGAAAAAGCACAATTTAAATAACAATGGTACCAATGACACAACTAGTTAATATTCCTGACAGAAGAATTGACAGAGAAGGCACAGAATATTCCGGAAGACACATAACCTGGGCTATAATTTTGAAAGACTAAATTTTTTTTATATATAAGTGGGACTTATATTTATTGGAACAGCATGCCAATAGAATCTTGCTTTATTTGGGAATAGTTAGCAGTTAGAAGGGATTTATTCAGTTTGTTAATATTTTAGTTAATTTGTTCACTGTTAGAGTTAGATAAATAAATTGTGACTTATTGATTTTAAAGTGAGTGTCAGGGATTTATTTTATTTAACCATTAGAAGTTACTGAAAAGCAAGTTACACTACATTTCACACTCCTTTTTCAGATTATGGGGTGAGGTGCTCCTCTTTGGGTGCTTCGGTTTTAATTCTCAGAGCGGGGATCAAACTCTGCTTTATAACACTATCCCAATCTGGATACTCTCAATCGATCTCTGGTATGATTTCTAGATTCTGTGTGAAAAAAGAGCATGCTTTCAGTCTCATTGTAATTTTGACGCTATGGTCCCTGTTTTAGAGAATTTATTAGAGGCAGTAGGTTTTCTCTATCATTCTTTTATCATCTTAAATGTTGATACTTCAACCATTTGCCTGGATTCATTACCTAACATTAAGTCCAGGACCACCCGTCTCCTGTAGAGTCATCCTCGTACTGGAAGGTAAAGTTGCCTACCAGACCATAGGGCAGCCCTCTCATTAGAGAGAGATAAATGGTGCTGGTTTAACCTGAGGGTAAGCAGGACTCAGGCGAGGGGGAGAGGTTGAGAAGAGGAATTCCTCATGAAACCTTCCTTCCTGAGGTTTGGTGCCAGTTCTGAAGAGTATTCCAGGTGGGATGTTACTAAAGCTTTGTACTGAAGCACCATTTTCTCCCCTTTGTATTCCAGCCTCCTTGACATAAAGATCCAGATTCATTCAGGTTTTTACATTAATTTTTGTACTTGACTGCTATTTCCAATGACTCCCAAATGTTTATGGGAAACATATCTCTTTTGTTGCTCCGTAGCTGTCAATGATGTTGAGGCTTAGAAAGATCTGGAAAGGTTCCAGGTTGCTGGCCCAAGATGTTTTAAAGTTACAGGGAAGTTATTCCTAGTGTGCTGGCCAATTTTTATCCCTGAGTCAACATCAGGAAAACTAATTATCCAGTTGTTATCACATTGTTATTTGTGGGAGTTTGCTGGGCGCAAATTGACTATGTGTTTCCTACATGACAACAGTGACTACACCTTAAATATAGGCTTTGATTACTTTGAGATAGTTAATGATCATGAAAATAAATTCATGTCTTTCTTTCACTTCTGGGATCCATTATCTTTCCACAGTAAAGGTTTGAAGCTTGCTTATGGCTCTCAGTAGATTTAGATTCCAGTTGACACTTTCAGAGTAAATCTGGTCAGAATGGTAGAACCTCCCAGTGAATCTGCGAACATCTTGACCTTTCCCTGTTTCACTTCACAGAAGTGGCAAACCCAAGATTTTTCCCCTGGAATTGCTAAGGCCTGTTTAACTGGGCTCCAGTGCTCCCAGTGCTTGATACTCTGGCTCTCTCAAAGGCATGAGTCCTCTTGCATTGATAAACATGGTTGTCTATTGTTCCAGATAACAGGATACAGTATCTCAGGAGAAAGGTGAGATAATTTCACTGAACAGGTTGATTAAAAATGCCTAGAATGTGGAACTTGCTGCTCCATGTGTAAATAACAGAGATGCATTTCATAGAGAAGCTGGTTAAAACATGAAGTAGAAACAAATTGAAGGTTGTTTGCCTGGGGTGAGCTGCCGTTGAGTTATACATAGGAGGCTCATATGAAACATAAACATTAGCACAGAGCAGTTGGGATGAAAGGTCTATTTCTGCACTGTAACTTCATATAAAACTACATAATTTCTCAAAACACTTCTACCTCCTGCTACATCAATCTAAATCATCAATTTAGCTACTACGTGCTGAGGATGAGCATTTCATTTGTATGTCTCATCACAAATATTAAACCTAAATGCCTTCCTTGCCCCCTGTCTATTACCCATTTATTCAACTGTTTTTAATAGTCATTCACGTACTCAACAATCCAGGGTAAGGGCATCAGAATTTCTGACAGTGTCTGATCTCCTAGTGACCCATTAATCGGCTAACATTGGTGAGAGGTCAATGGTGATCCCAGTGATGCATTTTTGCTGACTCTATTATTTCCACAGGTGCCCAACCCACCATCCTGTAATTAAATGGGGCAGCATGGTGGCTCAGTGGTTAGCACTGATGCCTCACAGCACCGGAGATCCAGGTTCAATTCCATCTTCGGGCAACTGTCTGTGTGAAGTTTCCCGCTGGGTGCTCTGGTTTCGTTTCACAGCCCAAAGATGTGCAGGTTATTTGGATTGGTCATGCTAAGTTGCCCATAGTGTTCCGGGATGTGCAGATTAGGTGGGTTAGCCGCGGGAGTTACAGGGAAGGTGTAGGGGGGATGGCTCTGTTTGGGATGGTCTTCAGAGGATCAGTGTGGACTTGTTGGGCTGACTGCCCTGTTTCCAAACTGTAGGGATTCTACGATGAACCTGGACTAGTACTTTTACATTGACATAGTGGGGTCTCACTTGTAGTGAAAGCATCTGGGGCCAAACAAAAGAGCCATATTATTTTAACAAAATTATAATTTGATTCCACTTGTAACATGAATCTAGCCATTTTCCTTTGTTATTCTTTATTTAGACGGTTTGAGTTATAAGGAGAGGCTGGATAGGCTAGGACCTTTTTCAATAAAGCATAGGAGGTTGAGGGGTTGACCTTCTAGAGGTTGCACAATAATGAGGGACATAGATAAGGTGAATAACAAAGGTTTTTTTTCCCTAAGGTGGGGAGTTCAAAACCAGAGCCTGTATTTTTGAGGTGAGAGGTGAAGATTTAAAAGGGACCCAAGGGACAACTTTTCCACACAGATGGTGGTTTGTGTGTGAATGAGCTACCAGAGGAAATGGTAGATGCAACTATGGTTACAACATTTAAAAGACATTTGGACAGGTACATGAATAGGAAAGGTTTAGAGGAGTATGAACTAAATGCAGACGAGAGGGTCTAGTTTATTGTGGGAAATTTGGTCAGCATGGACGTGTTGGACAGAAGGATCTGTTTCCGTGTTGTATGACTCTAGGACTGTATGACTCTATGACAAGGGATCCGGAAAGGAAAGGTATTTTTAATCAACCTGTTCAGCAATGTTATTACATTGGAGCAGGTGGATCTTGAACCCAGGCCTCCTAAACTTGTCTTGTTGGGTTTTAGGTTTTGTTGGGTTGATCAAATGTGTCCTTGGAAGTTTCAGGCTCCTTGGTCCAGTCAATTCCCAAACTCGCTTGTTTTCAGACTGTAACACTAATATAACAGGAAACAAATCTCATTACATTCCATGTCCAACTTATCTCTCAAAAGTCTATAAATTAAAAATTATTCTGAAGATTTTTGACTTATTTAGTTTCTGTTGTCTCTCATTCATTCTATTGTAAGACAGGATCCACAACATAATGCAAGAAACAATTTGTTAAGATTTCTATGCTATTGAAGGCCAAGAGTCTAGAGATTTACAGATGTGTGCAACAGATAAAACCATGGCAACATTATTACTGTAATCACTGCTGCTCAGTTGAAACATCTTAATCCTTCTTCAGGTCATTATTCCGTATAAAAGCAGCGTTAATCTAATCATATTCAAAACAGTAAGTGATAACAGACTTAGTATCAGATGTTGGTGATAATTCACTGCTATCAGCACCACCTCTACAGGGGCATGGAAGGAGAAGGAAGCCTTTCAGCCCCTCAAACCTGTTTTGCAATTCAATGATGGCTACTCTATATAGAGTCACAGAGTCATACAGCACGGAAACAGACCCTCTGGTCCAACCTGTCCATGCGACCAGATATCCTAAATTAATCGAGTCCCATTTGCCAGCATTTGGCCTATATCCCTTTACACCCTTCCTAGCCATATACCCATCCAGATGCCTTTTAAATGCCTCCAGCCTCCACCACTTCCTCAGGCAGCTCATTCCATACACACAGTACCTTCTATGTCTTAATTCCATTTGCCTGGTTTGGCTCTTTAATCGTTTAAACCTGACAAAAATATCTAAATCCCAGCTTTGAAATCTGTCGGGGAACAAGTTTCAGATTTCCACCACCTTGTGTGTGAAGATGTGCCACCCAATAGCGATCCCATATGAACTAGCTCAGATACTAAAGGATGGCCATCTTTAGCTGGAGGTGATTTGTATCTGTAGACTCATGTTGTACTGACCTGGTGTCCAGTCATAATCAGGCCACCCCAGGGTTTCGCCTTGTTTCTTATTTTCTGCAATGAGCCATTCTGTTAGTGGCTGGAAGTATTTCAGTAGAGAAGCAGCTGACATCGTGGTGTTCCCTGTAATCATCTTCATGGCTTCAGGCCATGGTTTGCTGCTCCCCAGTTTCATGGCATTCCTGAGGTGGAAATGACAACAACAACTTCTGTTTGCATTGTGCCTTCCATATATTATCACATTCCAAGTTGCTCAAAAGGAGCGTGATGATGCAATTTTAAACACTAAGCCGCATGGAAGGGATATTATGGCAGATGGCCAGAACTTTGGTGGAGAAGGTAGGAGTACCTTAAAGAAGGATGAGGGAGAGGGAGAGAGATAGAGGTGGATTCTCCAGCATTACAAAAGCAACTTAACAGTAAATAGTGTCATTTAGGAAAGATCTGACATGGAATATCATTTGTAAAGTTTAAGTCTATTACAAACATATGCAGCGGAACATGCTGCACAGGGACAACTTGAATTTATAATATTCAAATTGAAATATCTTGTAATATATTTTTACAAATGTAATAAAAAGTATATTTTGGGGATAAGGGAGTGTTTTGAAAGGTAAGGATAGCTGTTGAATGAATAATTTGTGCTTTGAGCAATGTGATTCCCCACTTCCTACACATTGTAATGTGGTAACTGAGCAAGAAGGCCAATTATAAATATCATAGATTCCTATCCACTCCTTTCACTTAAGGATACTACACCTGAATGCAATTCTAGATACCAATTGTGATGATCCATTTCACCTTGTCCAGAACAATAAACCCAAAGGATGCAGAGTGTTCTTAAAGTTGGAATATTCAAGCACATGATATTTTTTGAGGGGATGGAGCTGTGGGAAGGTTCTGGGGAGTCTAGCCTGGTGTGTAAATTATTCTATTAACATCACAAAAGTCAGGAATGTAATGGGCCAAAGACAAGATTTCAATCCTTTCCTGATTTTAACCCCTTACCCAAACTATTCCTGCTTATTTCACGGGGCAGGGGTGGGGGAGCTTAAAATATCAAGGCCATTACATCAGTGACCAAATGATCAATCGATAGAACACATTCTCTTCAGTGACAGCGGAAGCAGTTCGTCCTGATTTATTGAAATGAAAATTAGATAGAAATTCTTCAGAAAATAACATTTTGGGATACAGTAAGTGAGTTATTTGCGATAGGACATGTGCAGAGTGCAGCATACTGGGGACGAAATAGATGCCTTTGATTCCCAAAACTGCTTCCCAAAGTTTTCGCTCAAAGGGGTTTTTCTCAGAGAGATTTTATAGTGCAGAAAGAGGCCATTTGGCCTGTAGTGTCTGTGCCAGCTCAAAACTGAGCCCCTCAGGCCAACCTAGTATTTAGAATAGAGCACCTACAGGGTGGAAGCAGGCCATGTGACCCATCGAGTCCACCCCATCCCATCCCATTCCTGTAACCCACAATGGTTAACCCACCTATCTTGCACATCCCTGGACACAATGGGCAATTTAGCACAGTCAATCTGCCTAACCTGCATACATTTGGACTGTGGCAGGAAACACATGCAGACATGGAATGAATGTACAAACTCCACACAGACAGTTGTCTGAGGGTGGAATTGAGCCCAGGTCCCTAGTGCTGTAAGGCAGCAGTGCTAACCACTGAGCCACTGTACTGCCCATATTTTGTTCATAGATTTTTTTCGGAAGACAGATGCATTCAGTATGATACCCATACCTTCCACTTCCATACACAGATTACTTTTTTCAATCTTTTTAATGGGCCCTGTTCTTTCTTTATTCCTAATGTAAGAGAAAACATCTCTGGGTTCACCTGGATTTTGCTTGTTAATATTCTTTTATGTCCTCTCTTTGCTATCCTAATTTCCTTTTTAGTTTCAATCCTGCTCTCTCCTCATCTTTTTGTAATATATCATATTAGTTCCTATTGTTGACATATTGATAGAGATTGATGAATGTAATTAGTTGATAAGTCCTTTATGGCTATATTTTATCAGGTTGGTAGAACTTGAACTTTGGTCATATTTCCTCCACCATTTCCTCTCTGTTCTGAGTGTTCTGTTTGAGTTTTGAGGGCAGTTTGTTATAATTCTTCCTAGTTACAAAGGAACTGTGCTTTAATGGTTCTTACCCAATTTGTGTTCCTGCAGCTTTTGACTTGTAGATATCACATTTGTGCAGAGGTCCTGTTTGACCAGCAGCTTTGCAAAGGCTCTCATGAAACTGGAACTGGATGATGAAGCTCACAAAGTACCTGAGAAAGAGCAAAATGCAGAGTTTGATCTCAAAGGTGGCATTTAAGTGGACTTGTTCATGAATTAGGGTTCTGATGGAAGTTAATTGCTCCAAAACTCTGTTTCTCTCTGTCTAGATCCTGCCAGGTCTGCTGAGCATTTCCAATGTTTTCTTTTAAATTTCAGATTGCCAGCAAAAACAGTGTTGAAACTCAATATGTTTGCTCACACATTGGGAGGTGTAATCCAATGAACGTACCTGTGTTATTTGCTCAGACATGAGAGTAAGAATGATTTCAAGATTGAAGTCTTGGTTAATTTATATGGCCCCTCTCTTATTGCCTGTGTCAAATTGGCACATCAAACGCTCTGGCAATCATAGAATCATAGAAAAGGTCCTTCGGTTCATCAACCTGTGCTGCCAAAAGTACCTTAAATCTGCACTAGACCCCCTATCCAGCACTAGCCCTATAGTCGTGAATGTTATCCCATTCCTTGACTGTCTTGTTACCCACAGTTGACTGTGTAGAGAAGGTGCTTTACTCAGATCACTCAACAAATATAGGTCAGCTTTGTAGCCTGGTTCCTGAAGAGGATATTTGAGTATCAATGAATTCCCCCTATGTTAGTATTGCTAATCCTAACCTGACCTTGGCTTTTACCCACACAATTCTATTTTGGGAACAAGTTATCACATTCCAAATAAAGTAACAAGGCATATTTTTGAATTCATTTTATCAAATTTCCTTGAGTTAAAAGGATGATCCTTTTATTCTGATGACATCATGGGAGTTGTTGGTATGGTTGTAATAAAACCTGGAGGTTTTATTACACTCAGTTTTCATTTTATTGCAAAATAACAGATGCAAATAGTCAGAGAAAATTAAATAAAAACAACTGTTTTCTCTCCCTGCACACTACAGTGTCAAGCAGATTAATCTTCAATTGCAGAAGGATCCAGGTCATTCCTGAAGGGGTTGACCATCCTGGGTGTTAGCGATAAATGAACAGCGCTCCAGATATATTGACAGAAACTGAACTGAGAAAGGTCCATGTTAAAGACATACCTGACGTAAGGAACACTTGAAGGAATGTGGAATTTTGCACCGGGATCAAAATCTTCCTCTGATCGAGCAACAGGAGGACACACGCCCTGATATTTTAACCTGCAGAAGAAAGGTACAAGATAAGCTGGACACTGGCCCGGGCTACACCCTATCCTCAAACTTAGGCCTGACATAGGGTGACTTTCTCAGGCCTGAGTCTTGGGAGACTTGCTCACCTTGCTGTGTGCAGGTATGGTTTCTTTACTGTATGTAAATACTTTTACTGAATAACTCACAGAAGAAAGACCTTCCATAGAGTCTTTCCTATCCTTGGAACATCTGAAAACTCTACATGGTCAATTGAGTTACATTTGAAGTAGATGTTGTTATATTGTGGGTGGTCTGCTTGGGGCTTGGTAAACATTTCAACTTACAGAAGTGCCAGCTTCCCTCTTTTTTCACATAAAACCATTTCCCAAAGGGGGTTACAAGGTTCCCTTAGGGCTATCCATTATAGCTGGGGGAATGTTGCTCATTAGCTCACACATTGAGGGCCAGCATTTATTGCCTGGTCCTAATTGCTGAAAGGGCAGTATAAGAGTCAACCACATTGCTGCGGGTCTGGAGTCACATGCAGGCCAGAGCAGGTAAGGATGGCAGATTCCTTCCCCAAAGGGCAGTCAGCAATGGTCTCATGTTCACCATCAGATTCTTAATTCCAGATTTTTAATTGAATTCAAATTCCACCATCTGCTGTGGCGGGATTGAAACCCAGGTCCCCAGTACATTAACTGGGTTTCTGGGTTAACAGTCCAGCGATAATACCTCTAGGCCTTCAGCTGGTGACAACAATAGCGAAAAATATAGATTGTTAATGTCTAATGAAAGAAATACATTTTGTGTTATCAGTCAGATAACCAGACTATCAGTTACCCTAAATGCTCCCTCTGCAACCTATAATTGTATATATATATATATATATCTATAGTTTTAATAGGCAGAAAATCAAACAGGAACATGTCAGAAATGGAAAATTCCAGCCTTCTCGTTTAATGTTGCAGTGAGAACGTTATCTGTTAGAAACTAAATCTTGATTTGCTACTAAACTTTGTTGCCTTCAAAAGTAGTATACTTGGTACTGAACTACTTGTCAGAGCGCCAATATGCTCTGGCTCACAGTTGTACTGTGTAATTGACGTGACTTACAAGGCATTTGTTTTGTATATCCAGTTGTAATCACCATCAGGCCATTAGTAGATGAGTAAAACAGAGCTCGGAATTGAAAATGATCCACAACTACAAATACAGGCCAGAGAATTACAAATTAACAGAGAGAGAGAGAGAGAGAGAGAGGGAGAGGGAGAGGGAGAGGGAGAGGGAGAGAGAAATATGGAGATAGTCACAGATGCACACAAAAGGATGAGAGAGATCTATAATACAGATGCAGAAAGAAAGGGAGGACATTATCGGAGACGGGGAGGGGAGAGAAGAACAGAGCAGGAATAATGTCATCATAAATTCAAACACTGAGTAAAAGAAACAGAGAGAATGAAAGTCACATGGAGGGCAAGAAAATGCATTTGGCAAGAAAGCAAAATTACAGACAGAGCATGAGGGAGAAACAGAAAGTAATGAGAAAACATTGAATATTCAGTCAAGGCATTCAGAAAAGGAATTAGATGGTCATTTAGAAAGGAATACAAATTGTTATGGGGAGAAAATGAAGGAGGGCTCTAAATGAACTGCTTATTCAGAGAGGCAGAGAGGACATGATGGGCCAAATAGCTTCTATCTACAATTCCTGTGTTTCTGAGAGCCTAATGCTGCCCTAGCCCAGGAAATATTCAGCATTCCTGAAGACTGGAGTCACGAAGGCCAGGGAAAGTGGAGATGTAGGGAGAGGGATGGTGGGATCAATGGAGCCTGTCGGGGGTTTCAGAGAGTCTGAGATACCAAACAGAAGGCGACACTTAGTGGAGGGAAAGGTGTTTCTGGGGAGGTCTAGTAGGATTCAGTGGAGGCCTGCAGGCTCAAGGGGAATTGTATGAAGGGAAAAGTAGTGTCTGGGTTGGCCTGATAGGAGGATCTGGAGAAGAGAATGGAGAATGTAGAGTGTAAAAAATTATATTACATTGCACAAGAAGAGAAAGCTGACTGGTTCTCGGGTAAACACTGACTGGTGGAGACATTGCCATGGAGAACATATCAATTAAATGATAAGCAACAGTTTACCACCAAGTTTCATTTAAATTTAGACAAGGCCAGTTGACTCTGTCTCTTGCTTGTAATTTCTCTGTTTGTCTTACTCTTACATTTCTCTCTCTCTGTTACTCACGGTGAACGTTTCTGTTGCTCTGTCTTTCTCTCTCTATTACTCACTGTCTCTCTCTCTCTCTTTCGCTTTCTCCTGCTGCAGTCTCTCCGTCTGGTTTTAGTCATAATCCATCTCTTTCTGCACTTTTGTTTCTCCCTTGCTCTTTCACCCTCTCTGTTACTCCCACTCTCTCCTCTGTTATTCACTGTCTCCTTCTCTCTCACTGTTACCTACAGTTGGAGCATTTCTCTTTTCTATGACTTACAGCTCTCTTTCCTCTGTTAATTTTTGTTCTTTGACTCTGTTTGGTGTTATTTTATTTGCAGTTATTCCTGTATTATACCTGAGATTCCACCATTCCTGGTTGTAAATATCTTCTGGGATCCGCCCATCGAACACCCTCCATCGCCATTGGTCCATGAGGTAGCCAAATGGAAGGAAAGCAATCTTGTCCAACGCGATGCTCATCAGGTAGTTAATATCACTCGCTGGGAAAGAGAAATGGCTAGAAATTATATTTCATAATTTGCCTTGTTTTTTAAAGAATTAACTACTTCTCAAAAATAATTGGAAGAGCAAAATGAGGTGGCATAGGCTTGGAGGGCTGAAGGGTCTGTTCTTGTGTTACATTGTTCTTTGTTCTTTGAACTTCCTTGAAACAAAGGTATGGTTTCGGTAGACTTCTGTTGACAGATTTAATATAGCAATTGCACAATATAATGCAAATTAGAAAGGTAATCTTGTCCATTTTAGCTAATCCATCTTCTTCCTTATCACAGTATATATCTGCTCCTGAATTTTAGTTTTCTTTTGCATCACTATAGGATCTGGGAATGCTCCTCATCTGTTGTGGGCTCTTTGACAATTGAACAAGTTGATAGCAACCCTAAATTTGTATCTCAATAGTTGAAGTTAATCTCAATTTGTCCAGTTATAAAAGATATAATTGAAGGTGCAGAGAAAGATTAAATCTAAGATATGAGAGATCTGATAACAGCGGAGAAGAAGCTGTTCTTGAATCTGTTGGTACATGTTTCCAAACTTTTGTATCTTCTGACTGACAGAAGAGGGTGGAAGAGAGTATAACTGGGGTGGGAGGGGTCTTTGATTATGTTGGCTGCTTTCATGAGACAGTGGGAAATATAGATGGAGTCAATGGAAGGAGGGCTGGTTTTTGTAATGGACTGGGCTGTGTTTACAATTCTCTGTAATTTCTTATGGTCTTGGGCAGAGCAGTTGCCATACCAAGCTGTGATGCAGCCAGATAGGATGCTTTTTATAGTACGTCTAGAAAAATTGGTGAGCGTCATTATGGACATGCTGAGTTTCCTTAGCCTTCTGAAGATGTGCACTGTCGAAGATGTGGGGATTTGGAGGCAATGTGTCGTCTGTGCTGCATAGCCAGGTCTCCACTGTGAAGGTACTCTGTTGTGGATTATGCATTGTCCAAGCTGCTGTGTGGTTGGTGCTGTCAGTGCTGCACTGTCCAGGTGCTGTGTTGTGGTACTGCACTGTAGGTGCTGCATGGTTAGTGTTGTTTGTCTAAGGTGCTGCACTGTACATGCTGCGCTGCTGGTGCTGCATTGTCTAAAGTACTGTACTGTAGGTGCTGCACTGTTTGTGCTGTACTGTCAGTTCTGCATGGTCATGATGCAATTTTACAGATGTTGTATTATGAATGTTGCACTGTTGCTTTACCAGAATGATGCCTGGGCTGCAAAAGTTAAGTTACAAGGAGAGATTCTTCTCTAGAAGAAGACACTCAGGTCATATTGGCTGCAGATAGGAAGGTTAAGGGGTGATTAATTGAAGATTTCAAAAACATGAAACAGTGAAACACCGTTTTGACAGAGGGAAACTCTTTCGGCTGGTTTGGGAATCTTAGACTAGGGAGGCAAATTATAGCCAGGGAACTTGGTGATTCCTTTCTCCATGCAAAACGTTCTGCAAACAGCAATTGATGCTCAGTCAATTGGTAATTTCAGACCCGGGATTGATAGGTTTCTAATAGTCAAAGATATTCAGGGTTAGCAGAAATTTATGAAATTCATCAGATCAACCATGAACTTAATGAATAGTGAAACAGGATTAAGGGGCTAAATGACCTCTTTCATAAAGCAAACATCCTTCAGTCCTTTTGTGGTGCAATGGGAGTGTCTCTGCCTCTGACCCAGAAGGCTTGTGTTCAAGTCCCACTTGCTCTAGAGATATGCACTAATATCTCTGAAGAGGTTGATTTGAAATGATCTAAGCCAAATTTTCCATCACACTGTCCAATGGAGCCCCTCAAATGGCAATGTAAGTGTCTCAGCCCACTTCTGCTGTTATTCAACATGCAGCCTAATACCAAGGGGGCAGCCTGGTACCTTCCACTGGGTGAATAGGTACCAGGCAATGGTATCATTCTTCATTGGGGTGTCGTCTGTGCCCACTGAAGGCAACTCATCCAACCCCTTGAACTATCTCTTGTTGGCTTTCCAAACTCAGCCCCCTCCTGCCCCTGCCTCCCACTCTCTTCATTAGGATTTGCCAACCAGACCCTGCTGATACCTTGGACTTACTTCGGCCTCCCTCCTTTTCCCTAGAGACTGCCTGTAGTGCTAACTGTCAGTTCTCTGAGGCTGGCCTTCCAATCCCAGATGGGGAGGGAAGTCTCACCGTTAGTTAATGTTAAATGGCTGCATGCAGCTGTTATTGGTGAGGGTATGGCCATCTCAGGGTGACGAAACCTGAAATCTGAAAATTCCTGCCCTCTGAGTTAAAGCCATCAGTCACCAGACCCCATCATAATCTCATTAATAGACCTCCGTGTGGGTACCAGCTGGCAAACACACCCCTTGCAGCTCAGTGACATGCCACAGAAAAGAGGCTGCAGTTACCTGGGTTGTCTTCCACCTTGTCAAGGAGCCCGATGCTGTGGAGATGTTTGGGCGTAGATACCGACAGAGCCATCACATCACCAATGGCCTCATGAAACCCAGGGTTAGCGCCGTCTCGGAATGAGATGTGCTGGTCTTTGTATTGAAGGAAATACTGAACGTGGCCCATTTCATGGTGCACTGTTATCAGGTCTTCCATGTTCACCACTGTGCACTGTTTAATCCTGACAGATCAACAAACAACAACTTGAGAGGATCTTTGTAACACTTGACAAAGGAAGCAACTCTCTGAGTAAACCACCGTTTGGGGGAATTATGAAGAGGGTGGCTCAGTGGTTAGCGCTGCTGCCTCACAACACCAGGGACCTGGGTTCAATCCCACCTCTTGGGCAATTGTTGGTGTGGAGTTTGCATGTTCTCCCCGTGTCTACATAGGTTTCCTCCCACAGACCAAAGATGTGTAGGTTAGGTGGATTGGCCATGCTAAATTTTCTCATAGTGTCCAGGCATGTGCAGGCTGGTTGGGTTAGCCATGGAAAATGTGGAGTTCCAGGGATGAGGTCATGTAGGGTAGGGCGGGTCAGGGGGTGCTGGCTCAGATTTTGTTTGGAGGAATTGTGCAGTTTGCGTGGTACTCGCAGACCTTGGTACACAAAACAGAACAGCACAGTGACTCAGTGTTTAGCATTGTTGCTTCACAACACCAGGGACCCGGGTTCAATTCCACCCCCAGGTGACTGTCTGTGTGGACCTTGCACGCTCCCCCCCGTGTTTGCTTGGGTTTCCTCCGGGTGCTCGGGTTTCCTCCCACAGTCCAAAGATGTGTAGGTTAGGTGGATTGGCAAGGGAAATGCAAGGTTACATGGACAGGGTGGGTCTGGATGAGATGCTTTTCAGGGGGTGTGTGTGGTCTAAATGGGACAAATGGCCTGCTTCCTCACTGTAGGCATTCTATTCTATGCCCGTCACCAACATGGGATTATTGACTGATCACATTAGAAGTTGCTAAAGGTGGTGTAGGACCTCAAACTGTCAGGTGAACAGGATCCGGGGCTAAAGGAGAAAGCTCTAGCACCATGATATTGCAGTGTGGTTGAGAGGAAGGGTCAGGCATTCCGGAGTAAAGCAGTGGCAGGGAACTGTCGTGATAAAGAGCGCAGTTTCTTCTTAAAACAAGCCATTCAGCAGCTGGTGGCTAATAGCCACGCAGCAATCGATTGATCTGTGCTATCTCAGCTTTATGGATACCACCTCAGTGAATGAAACACAATGGCACTTGGATAAAGACTTGTTGGGTTTTCTGATGGCATATCATCTCACCAGTTTTATAACTGCAGGGTGGAGCCATTTTTAAAAAATTCATTCATGGGATGCAGACATCGCAGGCTAGGACAGTATTTATTGCCCAGAGGACACTTAAGAGCCATTCACATTGCTGTGGGTCTGGAGTCTCACATAGGCAAGACCAGGTAAGGATGGCAGTTTCTTTCCCTAAAGGGCATTAGTGAACCAGATGGGTTTTTCCCCAACAATTGACAATGAATTCATGGTCATCAGTAGACACTTAATTCCAGATTTTTATTGGATTCAAATTTCACAATCTGCTGTGGCAGGATTTGAACCCAGGTACCCCAGAACATAACCTGGATCGCTGGATTAATAATTCAGCTATAATGCCACTTGGCCAACGTTTCCTCTTTTGTTGTGCGGTGGTGAGTGGGGGATGCATTGCAGTTTCCGAATGGTCCATAAAGAGAGGTAAATTTCCTCCTCGCTCCCAGACTGACTCTGAATGACAAGGGAATGTTAATGCTGGGAGAGCTTTCAATCTCTCCATGATACCCATGTTTCATCATACTTCATCCAGTTTCTCCTGGATCCAGTTTGCCCCTCTGTCTCTGGATCTACTATCTACAACCAAATACCACTCTGATAAAAATTAAAGTCTCCTATTCTCTCCCTTCAGTCTTTCAATAATAATCTTAAATGTGTGCTTCCCTGTTGTTCCTGTCTGATCAGTGATAGACTGGGAAGGGGTTCTGTTTAATTGTTACTGAGGAGTTAGAACATAGAACATAGAGCATAGAACGTAGAACAGTACAGCACAGTACAGGCCCTTCGGCCCACAATGTTGTGCCGACCTATTATCCTACTAAGTTCAATCTACCCTGCATACCCTTCATTAGTTAGACCAGGTTTGTAATCTTCAATGTTCCCTGGGTAGCTATTAGCTGAACTGAAATGGAACCCTCTGAAATCTTTGACTTTCCTGGAGTCTTTTAGATGGTTGCAGATGCAGGGCGATCTTCAATTTCTCAGGCAATTCCCACATAGCCTGCGATCCTGTGTTGGTTCCAACACTCACCTCCTGTCTACACTGCTCTAATGACTAGCCAGTTCTGAAGAAGGGTCACTGAACCCAAAAATGTTAATTCAGCTTTCTCTCCACTGCTGAGACTTTCTAGCAATTTCTGTTGGTGTTTCTGATTCCTAGCATCCACAGTTCTTTGTTTTAAACCTGGCTATTGGAATCTCCAGACTCGATCAGTTTAACAAAAAATGCTCATAATTTCAACTCCTGCATCGGTTCTCTGTTAAACCCATCTAACCCTACTCCCTGCCAATGATACTTTACCCAAAACAGAATCCATTCACCTCTTTTTTTTAGAGGTTTTCCAATCAACCTGTTCAGAGATATTATTACACACCTCTGGAGAAGGCAGGACCTGAACCTGGGTCTCTTAGCTCAGAAGTAGGGACACTACCTCTATGCCACAAGAACCTCTTACTCTATTCTTGAAGAGTATCTGCAGTCAAATGATAGTAACTGTCGTCAGAAACTCAGGACCACACAGTACATGTTCAGGGTTGTACACACATAATCCACGCTCATACAGAGGGAGTGCTGCACTGTCAGAGGTGATACTGAGGGAGTGCTGCACTGTTGGAGGACCATCTTTCAGATGAGCAGTGAGATATGTCTGTCAGAAGGACATAGAAGACTCACAGCATTTTGTGAAGGAGAACAGGGTTGTTCTAGCCTGACCAATAGTCATCCAATGTCACTAAAACTAAAGGGGCTGGTCATCACCAAATTACTGTCAGTGGGACCCAGCTGTGTGCAAACTGTATGCTCGAATTTTACTGTATATTAGTGACATTGTTCTAAAAGTACATCATTAGCTGTGACTGGAAATTGCCTCTCAGCAGTACTTTGGCACTGACCTGAAATCTTTCTTATTGAAGAAGTCCCAGGCAGATGCATGGCAAACAACCTCCCTATCATTCGGCTTTTCGAGCATTGACTTGTTCCAGAATTCCTCTGGCATTGGAATGAGGCCGAGTGATATGAAGAATTGGTCTGATGCTTGAAACATTCGAATGGGATTCCAATGCTGTTGATGACAGAAGGTTGTGTTAAATGCAGCACGATGGACTGAAGCAACAGGCGAAAACTGGGCAGCATAGTGGCTCACTGGTTAGTGCTGTTGCCTTTCAGCACCAGGGTCCCAGGTTTGATTCCACCCTTGGCTGACTGTCTGTATGGAGTTTGCATGTTCTCCCTGTGTCTGTGCAGGTTTCCTCCCAGAGTCCAAAGATTTGCAGGTTAGGTGAATTGTCTGCGCTAAATTTCCCATAATGTCCAGGGATGTGTAGGTTGGGTAGATTAGCCATGGGAAAATGTGTGGTCACGAGGGTAGGATCAGGGCTTGATCTGGTTGGGATGCTCTCCCGAGGATTGGTGTACACCTGATAGGCTGAATGGCTTCTTTCTTCACTGTAGGGATTCTAGAAATGCTGTCTCTCTGTCCTCAACCTCATGAAACACAAGACACTTGGACATGAATTCAGAAAGATGACTGACTTATTAGTAAATGATATTATAACTTCACAGTGCACAGGTGTATAACTTAAACATTAGAATATTACTCTAAAAGTTAGATCACAATTCTACTGAGCTGGCATGGGTTTGAATCCGTAAACACTGAGATTGGAATCTTACCCTTCATGTTTTAGATTGGGATCAGACTGCGCAGGTGCTGGATGGGACTCTGTTGCGTGGTCATGTTTACATTGGGATTGCATTGTGCATGAGTGGATTTTGATCACACCGTGCCTTTAAATTGGGATCCCACTGTGTGATGGAATGGGATTTCACAGCGTGTGGTTAGGTTGAGATCTTACTGTGCAGAGCCAGGTTGAGATCTCCCTTTTTATGTCAAGATCACACTGTAAAGTATTTGGAATGGGATTTTGCCATGCAGGGTTTAGATTTTGTCCTTACTATGTGAGATTTACGTTGGGATCTCACTGTGCATTTGAGATTTGGGTGAAATTGTGCCTTTAAATTGGGATCTAACTGTGCATTTTTAAACATCTGATCATTAGATTGGGATCACACTGTGATAGATTTCATTGGGTTCTCACCGAAAGAAATTCAATTGAAGTCTTACTATGACTAATTCCATTGGGATCTCACTGTCCAGGATTCGATTGGGATCTCTCAGTGACAAATTCAATTGGAAACATACAGTCCAGGATTTGATTTTTTTTTATTCATAGGATGTGGGCATCACTGGCTAGGCCAGCATTTATTGGCCCATTGCTAATTTCCCAGTTAAGAGTCAACTACATTGCTTGGGTCTGGAGTCACATGTAGGCCAGAACAGGTAAGGATGGTAGTTTCCTTCTCTAAAGGACATTAATGAACTAAATGGGTTTTTCCAACCATCAACAATGGATTCATGGTCATCATTATATCCTTAATTCCAGATTCTTTATTGAATTCAAATTCCACCATCTCCCATGGCGGGATTTGAACCCAGGTCTCAAGGACATTAGCTGAGTTTCTGGATTAATAGTCTAACAATAATACCACAAGGCCATCACCTCCCCAGTCAATTAGGATCACAAAGTCTGGGATTCGAATGGGACCTGTCTCACTGCTGGTTATATTCCAATCTTAATGTTTAAATTTCTCACTGTTATCGCTTAGTGGAATATGATGCCACGATCTTAAACAGATTCGTTAGCTCCAGCCGAAATAAAGAAGCTAGAGATGGGGGAGAGGGTGATGGAGGAGACAAGTGCCAAGAAAGAGACTAACCTGGGCAATCATTTGAGGTGTTGCATCAACGTGGCTGGCATTGGGGTAAGGTATCAACAGTTTGTAGACATTGTTCCATGATTGGGCCCACATATTCCCTGCCACAGCAGAATGATAATATTAACCAGATGCAGAAGGCAGAAATACTCTCACATTGTGCATTGATTAGACAACTCTTCAAACTTCTATTTATGCTGGTACCAACTCAGAACATCTATGGCTACAGCCATAAAACTGTCCTTCCATCCTACATGGCTCAGTTGAGACCATTCAATCTCCTGAGTCAGTTACGGGTTCAAGTCCACTCCAGAAACTTCAGTGCAAAATCTAGGCTGACACTCCAGTGTGATCTGAGCATCAGAGGGAGTGCTGCACTGTTTTAGGCACTGTATTTTGTGAAACCCTGTCTGTCCTCCCTTGTAAAAATCTCATGACAGTATTTGAAAAAGAGCACGGAAGATCTCCCAAAGCTCTGGTCAATATTTATTCATCAATCAACTTACCAAAACAGCCTATCTGCTCATTATCACATCACTGTGTCTGGGAGTTTGATGCACGCAACTTGACAATGTACATGTTTGAGAAATGCTTTGCTGATGCAAAACAATTTTAGGATAGCCAGATGTTCTGAAAGGTGCTACATAAATGCAACTTTTCAGGCTATCTCCCGTGCTATATTATTCAAGTTAAATCTTCACAGGACCATTTCTATAGCTTCCACAACTGCACATAACAACCAAAGTATAAATTCAACACGTTTTGTTGCTCTTATATTCAACAATGCAGTGTATGAAAACCCACAAACCCATTGCACTTTTTCAATCAACTCTCAACTTTGAAAACCCAAAATTTCTTCAAACCTGCCAGTTTTTCTCTCTCTCCCTTGTTCAAATTTCTTAAAACATTCCCAGGTGGCATATAAACGTTTTCTTAAAAGTGCGGGAGACCATTTAGCCCATGGCAGGTACTGGAAAGCAGCATTCAAACAGTGCCACTTCCTCTGCTTTCCTCATTGTCCTGCAAATACTAATTCTACGAGTAGTTATTCAACTTCCTTTTCAAAGTCACTCTTGAATCTGCTCCCACCAGCCTTGCTGGCAGTGGATTCCACACATCTCGCCACAGATTTCCATCTTTCCATTTCTGGTTTATTTGTGAGTTGCATTATGTCTGTGTCCTTCCATCACTGAAAAAAATTCCTCCCTGTTTATCTTTCTTTTTATGTCCAGAAGTGCTCTTACAGAACTGGTTTTTCTTCCATCACCAAATCGCCCATGGTATTTTTTTTCCATCTATTAACCACCACCAGTAAATGGCCCAGGCTTCCAATTAAATAATTTACATGTAAAGCCTGTTAAGGATAATGTACATCATTAAAGGTGAGGGAGAGGTAGGGATCTGTTCACTTTATTTGTATTTTCTAACAAGCCTGTTCAGAGATGTTATTATACCCATCTGGAAGAGGTGGGACTTCAATCTGGGTCCTCTCAGTACAGGGGTAGGAACACTACCACTGAACCACAGGAGGGACCCAATTCCCTTCCTTAAATTAACCTATTTTTCTAATCAACCCATTCAGAGATGTTATTACATACCTTTGGAGCAGGTGGGACACTACCCCTGCACCACGCAAAAGCCTCCCTGTTTACTTTCCCAAACCTTTATCGTTATTTTGAACGACTGGATCTTTTGTCTTCTTAGCCACTTCTAAGTCTTGTTTCTCTGGTCACTCCCTCCAATGGAAGTTCCTTATCCTTGGCATTTCTCTGGTAAATCCTCCTTGCATTCTGTCAGAGACATTGATATCCTTTCTAACATGTGGCACCCAGAATTGAATAGAAAACTATAGCTGAGGCCTTTGTCTTTCCAATGCTGTCGTCTATTTCTCAATTAACCACTTTTCCTGATGCCCTCAACCCGTCAATTACTGACTTCTTTCTTTTCAATGCCACTGTCATCAACTCTCTTGTAATTTAAAAAAAAACATTGCAGTCTCTGTCCTTGCCAGTGATCACTTCATTTTTTACATCGCCATCTGTTTCAAAGTGCTTGAATGGGCGTTGTTCCAAGTCTGTGTTCATCTTTACTGCAAACTCCTGTTTGAATCCCTCTAACCCACCAATGACTTGGAAACAAATCGCTGATCCTTCATCAAAAAATCCTGGAACTCCCTCCCAAATAACATCATGGGAGTCCGTATACTAACTGGACTGCAGTGGGCCAAGAGGCAGTTCATCACCACCTTCTCCAGTGAAGTTAGGGAATAGGCAACAAATGCTGGCTCAGCTGTGACACCCACATCCCATGACCGAATAAACTTGTCCAGGGGCAGCTGTGGAATTGAAGAAAGGAAGTATCTGGCAGATAGGTACGACAACGACACCCAGAATAAGTTGATATTTTAAATGTCTTCATTACCCAAGAGATGGGCTGGGATTGGACCCTTCAGGTTGATGTATGTGTTTCCATATTTCTTGTGCAATGCTCTCCTGACATATGCATGCAGGTTCAGGTACAAGGGCTTCAGCTCGTTGTAAATATTCTCCAAATCTGCTTCAAAAGTTTTGGAATCATAAAGGGATCTCCAGAAAGCTCCTGTATCAGCGTGACCTGGAAACAGAGAGAGAAAGAAAATAGAGATTGTATCATTCCAAGGTAAAGCACACACTAAATCAAGTTTCTTTATCTCCCCTCATACTGGGAGGGCAATGCATGAGCACATTGAAATTATGACTGGGTGATGCAATAAGACCCTTATATTTTTGACAAACCTAACAACTAGCTGTAATAGCTAAATCCATGGAGCTCTTCTTGTTAAGTCTCCATGGTCACAGGGTGACTGGTTCAGGTAGAAAAGTTCAAAATGTGTTTCTTGCAAATATAAACTGAGCTGTACGTATCCTGGGAGTGTCTGATGGGGACAGTGTAGAACAAGTTTAGAAAGATTTTTTTCAGCAATTTCTAATTTTGTTACAGAGTAGAAGGAGTTTTACTAACCCTGTGCCGGCTCTGTCCTGGCAGTGTTTATTGGGGACAATGTAGAGGAAGCTTTACTCTGTATCTAACCCCATGCTGTACCTGTCTTCGGAGTGTTTGATGGGACAGTGTTCAGGGAGCTTTTTTTTTTATGCATTAACGAGATGAGGACGTCGCTGGCTAGGCAGCATTTATTGCCCATCCCTAGTTGCCTAGAGGGCAGTTATGAGTCAACTACATTGCTGTGGGTCTGGAGTTACGTGAAGGCCAGACCAGGTAAGGATGGCAGTTTCGTTCCCTAAAGGACATTAGTGAACCAGATGGGTTTTTCCGACAAACGGCAATGGATTCATGGTCATCATTAGATTCCTAATTCCATCATCTGCCGTGGTGGCAATTGAATCCGGATCCCCAGAACGTTATTTGGGTCTCTGGATTAACAGTCCAGCGATAATACTACTAGGCCATCACCTCCCCTTTAGTTCCCTATTACTTTTACTTTAAAAGAGTAGAGAGAGCTTTATTCTGTATCTAATCCCACACTGTCCCTGTCTTGGTAGTGTTTGATGGGGACAGATTAGAGGAAGCTTTACTCTGTATCTAACCCCGTGCTTTCCCTGTCTTGGGAGTTTTTGATGGGGACAGTCTAGAGGGAGCTTTACTCAGTATCTAAACCCATGCTGTCCCTATCCTGGGAGTTTTGATTCCAACATTGAAAACAGAGCATTAACATTACACACTTTGAAATTACATTTCTTTTGAATAAGGAGTTGACAGTCTAATCCAGGCTGGATGAACTCTGGATGATTGCAGTTAAACAACGGGGACAAGATGCAGTGTCGTAACAGTCACTGAAGTATTCAGCAAATTAAATTTCTGTACGTGCTTCTAGAATAACATCCCATTCCCTCCTACACCAGAGTGCGTCTCACCATTCAGTCTTGCTGCTTTGTTGCTTAACTCCACATATCTCTTGAAGTTGGTCCTCATTTTCTTTCCTGAGGCATCTCTCCATCCTTTCCAAGCAAACAGCAGCTCGTTGTAGTCGTTTGAAGTTGCCATGATCTCTGTTAGATCTGTAGGTAATTGACAGGTCAGACAGTGTGATACCTAAGGCAATGAAGCTGTGGGTCTTGGTAATGAGCAGGAACCTGCAGGGTTTCAGCACTCAGTCACACTAGGCATCAGAGTGAAAATCAGCTCAATACCTTCTCCTTCATCAAACCCTTCCAAAAAAAGTCATATTTATTCCAATAATTCTGTCTAACCCTGAAAAATTAGTTTGTGTATACTGCAGGAGTGTCTGCGTATGAGAGGGTTGTAAGGCTGTACCTATTTAACCAATTGTATACAAATGAAGTATGGAATATTTGTTGCACATAATTATAGGAAGGGTGTGGGGAAAGATTCATTAGCATTATATCTGTAAGAGTGAACTGGTATAGCTCTAAGAAACAGTTCACATTGAAGCCATGATACGAGAGCTGTTTAAAGTAAAGTGACGGCCATAGTAAGAGTGCAGGATAGTTTCTTGAATTAGTGAATTGTGAGGTTTACCACTCGGGGTGGAGGAAATGCCTTTTTTTTGCAGAGGGCTTTTTGAACAGGGCTCACATGGGTCTATTGAAGGAAAGATTATTCTGACAGGTAAGAGGGAGTAGGAGCTGAAGCAATGACACTGATCATTTGTTTATTGTGCTGGGGTGGCACGATGGCTCTGTGGTTAGCACTGCTGGCTCACTGCACCAGGGACCCAGGTTTAATTCCGCCCTCCAGTGAACGTCTGTGTGGAGTTTGCATATTCTCCCTGTGTTTGCGTGGATTTACTCTGAGTGCTCCGGTTTCCTCCCCTAGTTCAAAGATGTGCAGGCTAGGTAGATTGGCCGTGCTAAATTGCCTGTAGTGTTCAGGGATGTGCAGGTTAGGTGATTTAGCCATGGGAGTTGAAAGGATGGGTAGGGAGGCTGGGTCTAGGTGGGACGCTCTTTGGAGGGTCAGTGTGGACTTGATGGGCCAAATGGACTGCTTCCACACTGCAGGGTTCTGTGATTCAGTGTAGTTCATATACTGTCAACTATGCCACTGATTGCTTCAATTCAGGAAGCCACATCCCACATCTGTATTGTTAGCTCATTTTGATGATGGCAGTAGCTGAGAGGCTGCAGTTGTTTGTGATACCAGAGGGCAGCTGGTCTCAGGGACTCTATATCCATACACAATCTATATCAATGACTTGGATGAGGGAACCAAACGTATGGAAGCTAAATTTGCTGATGGTAGCAGGATAGGTAGGAAATTAAGTTTTGAAGAAGATAGAAGAAATCTTCAAAGGGATGTAGACAGGTTGGGTGAGTGGGCAAAAAAATTGGCAGGTGAGTTTTAAGTGGGAAAATATGAACTTGTCCACTTTAGTGGGAAGAAATAACAAAAACATATTGTTTCACTGGAGAGGGATTACTGAAACCTGGCCTTCCAGCAGGAGCTGGATATATGTCTGGGTATGGGCATCATAAAACATTAGAATTCAGGATGTGATTAGGAGATAGATGGAAGATTTTCATTTATTACGAGGGGAATGGAATATAAGAATTGTGATGTTCTGCTACAATCGTGTAGGGACATGCATTGGTGAGACTACATTTAGAATAAGGTGTACATTTCTGCTTTCATTATATCATTAAAAGCAGTTCAGAGAAAGTTCACCTGACTGATTCCTGGGATGAAGAAGCTCTTTTGTGAGGAAAGATTGAACAAATTGGGCCCACTTTTAGAACAGAGAGGTGATCTTATTGAAGAATATAAAATCCTGAGGGGAGTTTGAGAGGATGGAGGCTGAGAGAATGTTTCCCTTGTAACAGGATCTAAACCTAAGGGATAACAAGATGTAGTGCTGGATGAAC